CTAAACCGTAAACCCTAAACCGTTAACCGTAAACCCTAAACCCAGACCGTAAACCCTAAACCCTAAACCCTAAACCGTAAACCCTAAACCCTAAATCACAGTCGAACAGAGGACATCGGGTTTTTGCATCTGTATAGGGATGTACCAGGCTTCAACATGGTTCGGTCTACTGACAAGGGCGTTATCAAGTTAAAGGAAACCACAGGTGGGGAGTTTAGGGTACATAGGGTTTAGGGTTTAGGGCTTAGGGCTTGGGGTTTAGGGTTTATGGTTTAGGGTATATAGGGCTTCCATAAGGTATATAGACCTTCTATAAGGCTCCTATAACGGTAACTGGCAACTTAACGTAGAACCCTATTCCAAGCGATGGCGGTGTTGTTCGAGCGACTGGCCCTGGCAAAAAAGTGCCATCACCACCAGCATCCATGTGCCCACGATTCAGCCCCTAAACCCTAAACCCCTAATGTAGGAACCTGATTGAGAAACCCTGGCCCCTATAACCCCAACATACTAGGATTCATATAAGGAGCCCTAATGAACACCCAAGGTTTCTTAATCAGATTCCCATATTAAACCCCAAACCGTCGTTCCCAGAGACTCCAACACCCCTTAGTTAAGGAATATACCTTAAATCATATTAGGGATCCTGTTATAATTTAAGGTATGTTCCTTAATTAAGGGGTTTTGGAGTCTCTGGGAATCACAGAAGATCCTTGGGGCCTCTGCGTCGCTGGGACTTCCTGGGCCGTGCGACATCTTCGGTACTGGTTTTAGGGTTTAGGGTTTAGGGTTTAGGGGCCTTTCCCGTTTCTTTGCCGGTGCGGCCTTCGGTGAGTTTCCTCTTCTGCTCCGCCACCCGCCTGGGCAGAAATCCGGGTCCCTGTGCTTTGCTACGGAAATGACCCGGGTACTGACTCTGAAGCTCCTAAACCCTAAACCCTAAACCCTAAACCTTAAACCCTAAACCCTAAACCTTAAACCCTAAACCCTAAACCCTAAACCGCACTGCCCGGCTCCTGAAATCCCAGCGGGCCTCCCAGAGCTTAGCCATGCCACCCTGCAGCGGACAGCACTGTTCTCAGCCCCGACAAAACCACCGGCACAACCCAGAGACTCCAAAACCCCTTAATTAAGGAATAGACCTTAAATCATATTAGGGATCCGATTATAATTTAAGGTATATTCCTTAATTAAGGGGTTTTGGTGTCTCTGGGCACGACGCCATGGCCTAATAGCATTGCTCGCCGAAAGCCGCGACGCGGGATTGACCTGAACCTGAGTAATCTAGGGGCCTTAATACTTAGAAGAGGGTTTGGGGGGGTTCCTCGTGTGTAATTATAGTATACCATACCCTCACAACCCTATTCTAAGTCCTAAGTGTTAAGGCCCCGTGCTCGAATCCTCGGAGCCCAGTTGAGCTGCGGGCCAACTGCTTGCAGAAGGACCTCCAAAGCGGATTGACAGCGGTTTTTCGGCCCTTGCCTCAAGAAGCAGATGGGTAGTTCTCTAAATTAGGGTCCCTTTTTAGGTCCCCAATATAGTACGGCACTCTTATAAAAAGGACCCAAAAAGGGACCCTAATTTAGACAACTACCCAGATCGAGGCCTCGCAGATTCCGAAAACTTCTGGATCGTTTCGCTAAGACCTCAGAGGGCTCCAGCCGGTCGGACCCGAACTCGCGATTCAAGTGCTCTAAGCCACTAGAGGGTCTGGGGACTTAGTAAATGGTTATTTTATAGGCTTATAAGTACTATAACCCCAATTAGGGTCCCTTTTAGGGTACTTACAAGTCTACTTGCTAAGCGCCCAGCCGAAAAGACCTAGACCTTGAGCGGCAACCTTGGGCAACAGGGCTCACGTCCTTTGCCATAACGGCGTGAGTTGACCCGTCACTCAGTCGTGGATGGCACACTCGGCAGGGCAGAGGGCATCACGCGTGTCGCTTGCAGAAGGAATGGTCGTCTACATCTATCTGCATTTCCATGCCTTGCCATGCCATGCCATGCCGTGCCGTGCCGTGCCATGCCACGCAAGCAAGTTGCGGAGGAAGTGTCCGTGAAGTCCAGTTTCCCCTCAAGCCTCGCAGAAGGCAAACTATCACTCTTACGTTCGGAATAGTCTGCAAGGTGCTCAGCGGCGCTCAGACATGGGCATTTGTCTCTGGTCGAGCTCGTTTCGCCGATTCAGAAACGGATGCTTGCCACCAAAGATGATCATGTACCTGTGATCGTTCGGTCATCTTGGAACATCGAACGGAACAAACTGTGGCACATTGAAAAACATGTCTGTGCTCTTCGCCCAACCATCGACAGCATTGCACCGAAACGAGAGTTCATTTTGAGCCATGCCTTTCAAACGCGCGAGTACGCGAGCTCATGAGCTCGAGATGGCGACGAAGAAGAACCCTGCTTCATCAGCAAGCTTTTATCCAGAGGGTCTCCCCAAGAGCACTCCAAGTTCGATTCTTTGGAGCGCCTTTGGGCTGCATCCCCTGAGATGTACTCCACACCAGGGTGACACCTACAGGAAGCTAAGGATCATTGAAAAACCCTTTAATCAATATCCGCCATTCGCCCCATCAGAGCTCAGCTCTTGAAGCTGGCAGAGGCCAGGGCACCAGGGTTGGATCCCGGCCCTGGGCCCTGTTTTTTGTTACTGCGCACCGAAGGCAAACTCACAAGCCACCTTGCTTCCCTCATAGACTTTCTGTTCAGCCGCCTTGATGATGCACTCGTTCCTTTCCATGGTGACAGGTTACTGCTGAGAATAAAGCAGCACGCCTCATTCAATCCTACAGCTGCCTCTTCCTCTGCTCTGCAAGATGCAAGTGTCTTCGTCTTAAGTTTAGCACAGCGTCATCAGCCGGAAGAGTGGCGATTGAGGTTCGATGAGCTGACCCAGCTTTTGCATCGCATGGGGCACCTCCATAGCTGTCCGGCTGCAAAGTTGTGCAGATGCTACGCCACTACGCGGGGACGCGGTCGAGCCTCGCGGCACTCGACGCTGCCATCGCCGAGTTCCTGGGCTCGCACAGCCGAGTGGGCCTCGTGTGCCCCGACTCGGCGGATGTGGAGCTTCGGAACCTCAGAAGGTCCGGCAACCCAACACACAGCTTGGGTACTGCCCCCATACAGTAACAGTCTATAATAGGGCTACTATTAAGGGCCTATTATATCCACAATATGAATACTATCCAACTGTTACTGAGTGGGGGCAGTACCCAACACACAGCATACATGGCGAGACATCATATGGGTAGTTGTCAAAATTATGGTCCCTTTTGGGGTACCCTAAATAATAGGTGCCGTATTAAAATAAGGACCCAAAAAGGGACCATAATTTTGACAACCACCCACATCATATTTCAGTCGTGAGGCTGGGAAGAAGGCCAGCTCTGATGGCTTCGTCACGAGCCTGATTCCGGTGTTCGCCCACAGAGCCACAGAGGCTCGTGGAGCTCAAGAAAGTCTCCGAAGCTCTAAATTATAATTATTATTGTTATTATTATTATTGTTATTATTATTATTATTAAAATTGTTATTATTACCATTATTGTTATTATTATTAATTATTAATAATTAAATAGAACCCTGATACCTCACCCCAGCGAAGCGACACATCTGCCACACGGATCACCAAGTCTGTGCAGCGGAAGGCAGCAAAGTGTGAGTCGAAGCGGAAGACTGTCACGGCCTGCGTTGATAGCAACAAAGCCTTCTGACTCTTCACCGACCTGCCTACAGCCCTGGGAAGAGACGAGCATATAAAATAAGATAAGATACTCAACCATTATATAATATAGTGTAGTATAATATGCTGTATTATAGTGTAGTACAATATAAGCAGATCAAAGGTGGGTCCTTCCAGTTTGGCGGCTCCTCGAGGAGGTCCAGCGCCTCTTTCTTGCAAAGGGAAACGGTGCCCTCGCTCGACGTCACTTCGTTCCAGTCGAGATCCAAGGTTTTGAGCTTCGAGACAATGGCATCTGCGATGTGCTTGTGGTCCCCGCAGTTCAAGTAGATACGGATCTTTTTGTCCCGAAGGAGAGGTGCCATGGCAGACAGCAGGCCGGAAAGAAAGGCACTCTGAGCACCTGCTCCACCGACCGCAATGAGGAATCGCCGTGGCAGGTTCTGCTCACTCCGCTCGATCCTTGACTTGCTGTCTGCAACGGCATTGATGCAGAGGTCACTGGACACCCAGTGCCCGGCCAGGCGAAGACTTTTTGCGGGGCATCCCATGTCAAGGAGCTTGTCGAAGTACGACGGGGACTGGACGAGGTTCAGTGCACCCGGAACCAGGACGAAGTACCTGGAAACTGCCATCGCAGGAGTCTCGCGGAAGACGTCAAACCAAAACCTATCAACAAGCCTTTAGTCCTGCAAAAATAATGAAGTATAAATTCAATGCATAGTCTAATATAATTTGATATATCAAAATCTAGTATAATAGAGTATAGTATAGTATGATACGGTGTCGTATTCTTACCAATTTCTACCAGGGGCTGTGGGAGGTTGTCGAAGATCAAGTTGATGACGTGCTTGAAGCCGCATGCCACCGCCATGTTCCCGACGAAGGGGTGGGTGGTAATGACCTTGGAAACTAGTGTTATAATACTGATAAATACTAATAATGAATAATACAGTAATCGTGCTAATATGATGCTAACAAGCATAATACACGTAGTAATAATCATGGTCGGAGGAGGAGGAGGAGGACAAGCTGAGAGAATACGACTTCTCACCTAAGAAAGGACTAAGCCCGGTCCTAGCTGAAGTCCTGGCCCGTGATTTTTAAGATGCCGAGGAGTTGCTGGCACGTCTTTCGGAAACGCCGCCATGATGCCTCGAATGCGCTGAGCCAATGCCAGGCTCAGTCCTGAGAGATTCGGTCAAAGTCGGCGCAAGGAGGTATCCGAAGAGAGCAGACGGCAGAGGAGGCCCTAAACCCTAAACCCTAAACCAGTGCAGCCTTGCATCTGAGGGCATTTGCATCACCTTGCAGCATCATCTTGCCCCAGATGGCATCGAAGACTCCACCAAGATTGGAAGCGATGCGAGACATGCGAGAGTACTGCCTGAGTTGGCAGGGGTACGAGTAATGATAGCAGTGCGGACAGTGCTGCCCTGTAGTAACCCTCATGGAGTGGTGATTCCTGTGCTTCGACTCTGTATCTGTATGAGTGCTAAGCGGCTTGTCCATGTTTCGGACCACGGCTGCCTCGATGCAGTCGGGGGAGAGGATGTCCAGTAAGAAGGGCTTCCCTCCAAGTTCCAAAGCCCAGGTCAGCGCAGAATAGGCGATGCGGTGATGGCCATAGCCCATTCGAACAGAACCGACAATCACCGTCTTCTGAGTCTTCAAAGCTTCAGCCAGCACTTTGAGAGACTCCGGCGTATTGCTCTGGCTTTGCTCTAGCAGGGACAGCCCATTCACAATAGGAGACGGGACGGCTTCCCAAGCAACTTGCCGCTCCCAGGCATTAATCTTCGGAAACCCTGCAAAAGTCAGCCACATCATGCGGTTCACATAGCTTCGGTCTCTGCATGAAGCCTCAAGGCCCACGAAGTCTTCTGTCTGCTTTTCTGGCCACGGCTTTCCCAACTCATCGAGAGCATCACCGCTCTCGCTGGGGCGGTTGCAGCACAGGCGGCAAAATGCACCTCCCATGGCAAAATGCCTGCTTTAAATGTTCTGGCAGCGTAGACTGGCAAAGCGGCCGGCAAAAACAACATTCAGCACATTCCATGATTCTATACACTCTGCAGACACAACTCGCAAGCAACGTCTCCGGCTCAACGGCAGTAAATGGATGAGTTCTGGCGCACATGGACACTCCAGCTGCCCACATGTCCACCGGAAAACCATAGCCACGGCTGTGAACCGGCATCATGTGCTGCTCCGGCCTGGCATCTTTTAGTGATCAGGGTGGCCCTAAACCCTAAACTCCAAACCCTGAAACGCAAGCCCCAAACTCCAAACCCTAAACCCTCAACCCAAAACCCCAAACCCTAAACCTCAGCTCTCACGGGGCTGGGGCAAAGGCGCCATGAAGGCGGGCGTGCCGCACTTGTCAGTGAGGATGCCACCTGGTGCACCGGGATGCTCTGACTCTGCCCTGCGCGCTTCATGCTAGGATCTAGGGTGGCATACTGTGATGTATTATAGAATACTAGAACCTACTATAGTATAATGTACTATGATGTGTTATAGTATACTAGAACCTACTATAGTATAATATACTATGATGTATCATAGTATACCATGATCTACTATAGTATAATCTGACATACTATAATATAAACGAGCCCTGCCACCCTAAACCCTAAACCCTAAACCCTAAACTTACTAAACCCTAAACCCTAAACCCTAAACTTACTAAACCCTAAACTCTAAACCCCGGAATTGGAAACCCAAGCGTCCAAACTTCAGAAATAGACCG